ATCATGGAACAGGTCCATTCGAGTAGAGCAACATATTTTTTCCCTCTACCCTGCGACCTTTATGGTTCTTTCTTACTGGACATATATATTGTAATATTTGTTGCATATGACATTCACAATCAAAAGGAGTGCCACTTTTATACAGACATCAACCATATGTGAGTGGAATGTAAAAATGTTTCATATTTTGACATAGCTCCAAAAGAAAAAGCATAATTATCATATTGGACAAAAATGACAATTACCCTACTAAATAATTTACCGCTGTAATTTCTGTTAACGAGTATGATGTGACATCCAATAAGATATTTCATAAATATGCTAGATAATCAGAAAACACATAATATATTTTTGGCAAAATATCATAATCTTTCCACGGCATACAAATCATTGATGTTACTTTAACTCTAAATAACATTTTGAGTTCATTTTAATGAGTGTAGTTAGACTACTTATGTTCCGGTTTCTTTTTATTTATTTTTTTTTATTATTATTAAATAAATATGACTGTTTTAATGTCTGCAGTTTTTTAATTATTCATTTACCGAGTATGATGCATTTAAAGTTCAAATGACGTAGAGATTTGTTTTTATTAAAGTCATCATACTTATTTGTAATTTCCTACATTTTCATCAATAAAAAAAAAGTTTTCTTAGCTTAAGTAGCAAAAATAATATATGCGAAGTATTTTCAATATAAAGCTGCTTTATCAGAATTTTATCAAATAATCCCCGCATCATTAAAACTTTCATTTCAGTAAAATAACGACTCTACCACTTAACAAATACAATAAAAAAAATACAGAATCCCTAGAGAAAGCCCAACACTGCAAAATTGTAAAATGCTGCAGGCTCGGTTTGATTGAGCCTGTTCATGGACGGTACTGGAAAGTGCAAGTTACCGTCCATGCCCCCTAGCACCGGCTTAAGCAGAATTAACACTTAATCACAATACATGGGTAAGGCTTTGGGACAATGACCTAACGTAAATGGAAATTAAACTTGCTTAAAATGATGGAATTGTTCTATTTCAAAGCAATTTTCTTACTTTAACGTATGATTTGATAACAATGATTTACATGTTCTGAAAACGTTAATAAATGCAATATGCTTTTGTCAATGATGACGTTTGCATGACGTTTTAACTATTACGTCATAAAGTAGAAACACTGCCATCATCTTAGAACCGCTATATTTATGGAGAGTATGTGCGTTTGAATCAAAACATTCAAATAGAAAGACCCTGCATAAAATTACACAAACTCGTACATAGTGTATAAATCTCTCCTGTTTTTATATAATTTATATCTTATTCAATATGCAGAAACATCGGGATTTATCTGGAGATAAACACATACGAAAAAGAAGCAACATGCATTTCAATATATCATGAAGATAACAACACTGCATCATGCATTAAGTGCCCATTTCCGTACTTTCATTATTTTTGATCCCGATAAATTTTGGTGATTAGTTGAAGATAATCGAAACATGCACTATTAAAAGATTCATAGATACTTTTTTATTCATACTTCTTAGAATTTATGAAGACTTCTTGCAGCATTTCAGCTGTTTTCTTTCCTAATTTTTTCTCGTCATCGGAAACTGTTATTTGTTAAAGTAATATTACGGATTACGTAAGCCACCAGCTGTAGTCATTTGTGGCTCAAATAAATTATTTTTATAAATTATTCATTCACAAAGTAAGAGTATCTGTTACGTTTTTAATCTAAGAGTTTATGGAATGATTAGGTATATTTAACGTGTAGAAATTAAGTTGCAAGCAAATGGTTGGAACAGTGCTAAGTTAGTTCTGTATTGTAACTAGTTTTCTTGGATTTACACAGGTCCTAGTATCATAATAATCACGTTTCGAGACAGAAAAACGTACGTTGCAATTATGGAAGTTTTTCATTTATTACGATGCGAGTACAAATGCGATTTGTTTATTAGTAAGAAATCATAGCATTGGATACAATCAGTAGAAATTTTGTAAACAATATATCGAAATTAGAATCTAATGGCATTGCAAAAATAATAACTGTGCAGGCCGGGTCTGTTTCATCAGGCCTGTAAATTTACTAAAGCTTATGTTAAGAGCCCCTAACATTGGCTTAGGCAAAATTCATGTTTAGGAAATTCAGACAAAAAACTACAAATAAAAGAAAGTAAAATTATTTAAATCAAATTAAATAATATAAATTGTATCTATAAAAGCGATCAAAGTAGAAAAAACCATTCTCACACATTAAGCATTTTAGTAATGCAAGCAAGTTAAACTTTTGAATAAAATTTAAGTTACAAAAGCATTATTATAAACCTATTATGCCAAACTATCAATTTTAAATAATAATGTTATTTTTCAGGTGTATGTACGCAAAAATTTATCTTTTTTTTCTAAAATCTAACTACATGTATTACATAATGTAAAACATGTTTCCATCTTCTAAAACCTGTTAAAAATTAAAAGATAAGATAAAAATGGTTGATTTTAAACGATAACTATACATTCTTTGATATTCTTTTACATTGAAGATGTACATCAGTAGAAATCAGAATAAGAACTAGGTCGCTATTCAGGGGCAAATTGAGATATAAATCGGATTCAATAACAATCGGATTCAATAATGGTCAGATTCAAAATAATGAATAGAGTCAATAAAAATTGGATTCAATAATGATCAAATTCAACAATGATCAAATTCAATTAAAACAAGAATCAGAGCCAAGATCATTATGCCAAATCATGTTCAAAAGCTCCTCTGTGTTCACAGCCGACAGTTACATTAAGAGAGAAATTACCTTTAAACGTCAAACTTCATTTTCAATTTTGCAAACATGTTCGACATTTAAAATAGTCCAATGTTGTCTTTTTTTAATTATCCATATGAATCCTAAATCCTTTTTAATCACAACAATTAAAGATTTTGGCATGCCCTATCCTTGAGTGTGTACGACTGTTGAGCTGATGTTTGTTCTTGAATAGTCGGCCAGATGCTGTTTAACAGAAACGAACACATATTGCTTTGCTTTTATTGGCACTTTGTTAAGATTAACAAAATGCAATTATCAATGAAAATAAATTGTACAAATGTGATTATATGATTTGTTGTTTTTGTTGTCTTTGTGTTAAACTTGTACAAATGTTTAAAATGATTCTTTACTGTTATTTGAGTTGTCGACTTCAAATTTTACAGGAAACATTTTTTATTTTATTTCGACATAAGAAAAGTACAATAATTAAACAATCTAAATTGTACAATGTGCTATAATTGACATAAACAGGTGGTTATCGTGTTTCTTATTACCGCCTAAGACTCAAATAAGCTATGCAAAACATACGTATATCTTTTAATTTACATGTCACAGAAAGAGATAATTACTGTTCATTTAAGCATTGAGAAAGTTAGAAATATGCTTAAATCTAAACAGTCATTATTTCAAATTTAAAGAAAGGAATTATCATCAATTATCATTTGCGTTGCTCAGTAAAAGTTTGATTAAAGGTCAGTATAAATCATGTAGAGATATTACATGTGCATGTATTAATAAAACATGAATATTTGAACATTGTTTCTTATCTTTGAAATAAAATACCAAGTTAGGCAAACTTTAAAACGAATTGCTATTTATAGGTATGAGTATAAGCCCCTTCTATAGATACATTAAGACCGAAATTTTCGGTAAAAAATCTTAAAACCAGCAGTAATAAATAATATAGTTTTCGACTTCATTTTAGGGATAATCAAATGCATATCTCTGTAAGTATATCACAAATCTCAATCTCTAACTTTCACCATCATATACAATTTTCAATATCCAAAATTTGAGCATAAATGGACTAAATACATTTTTCGACCGAGTTTCAGGGTTGTATCGGTACAAAAACATAATTTATTTTGTGGAATAATCAATTCCATTTATCTTCACGTTTCTGTCACTAAATGAATAATTTAAACAGTTCAAAAAAGACAAACGCTTATCTAAGCTTTCGACATTTTGTCTTCTTCAGAAAACATTGACGTTTATACAACGCAAAGACAAAAAAACTAATAATGTATCTAACAATAAATTAGTTGCAACTTGAAAAGATTGAATATTTTGATTCGATTGCCGTATATATAAGTCTCAAGTAACTTATGCAAAATTTTATACGGATTAAATATTGTTATATTTATACGAAAACACTGTTTCTCAGAACACAGCCTTAAATCTCTAAGGCGTCTAACATAATGTATTTTAAAAACCGAAAAGAACTGTAAGTAATTCAGTTTTATTCTGAGATACTTATATCCACTAATAGTCTAATACCATACTTAAATTCCTTCGTTTTCGCTCACCGCAGCCACGGAACGACTAAACAACTTACTTTGGTAAACTTAAATGATTGAAATTACTTTCGCATGCTACCAGCTTATCACTAAACTTGATTCATTGCCCCTATGTTTAACCACCTACTGTGAAAATATTAATATTTGATTAAGTTTCAAACAAAACCACGTTGTTCTAACGATAAAAGTTAAGAGATATAAATCCGTTTACTCATTCCTTTATGCTTAGAAATCTTGTAACTAACACCTAAATATATAACTGTTAAAATGTACCTGGTTATTTATAATTATAAAAAAACTTTAAAACTGCATGGTTATTCACAAAACAAAAAGTTTCGTCAACAGTATGTTTACAAAAAAGATTAATAATAACATTTAATTTCAAGTATAAAGTGAAGTTTTTTGTATATAAGCTCTTTTCTTTTAAGCAGTCAAAGCCTGAAAGCAAGTACTTTCTTCTTAGGTAACATTGGTTGAATATGATGTTATATTACCTATTACCTATACAAGAAGTCATTTACAGCTCGTAAGGTGTATCAATATTATTGTTTCATTTTCTTTACATTCTTTAAAAAATAAATATGACTTGATTATGCTATTCTTCAAAATGACCACAATTATGAAAATATCCGTGTGTCTAAAAAGGTGATGTAATAATTTAACGACTTACCTCCATCCATCTCGGCAAGGGTCTCTTGAGCATCTCGATGAGCTCGATAATTAGACCAGCAACACGGCTCTATTTGTTTCTCATCCAAACCCCAAAAGGCTAATTCCTCTTCAAATAATGGCCCACACACATCCGTTGGCGCATGCAGCTTTCCTGTCCGGTAGTAATTCAATATCATATTAAAAACTCCAGGATGGCGATCGAAAAAATATTCTCCTGACTCGGAATCAAAATCTGGATTATGTCCACCTTTATAGTTCGTAAGCCAAGCAAGTCGAGTGTCTGGAATGTTTTTGAGGGTGGATCTGTAGGTTTCATACCTTATGCCACCAACGTTGATAACAATTTTGTGCTCATTTCTTCTAGAACAACTTCCCGATGGACGCGGTAAAATTGACGACTTTGGTGCAATTAAAGAACGCCTTGAAAAGTCCACGGCCGACATTGTGAAATATTTAATAGAAACAAGTATTCCAAATTTTTAGATCATTGTTTTTACTTCCTTGCATCATTCCATGTCACATTTGATTAAATTTCAAATAAATCACATAGAAAATGAATATACCTGTAGTGAATTAGCACCGGCATTACTTACATCGATTTAATCTTCAATTCATTGCGAACAGAAATTAATTCCAAACTAAAAATTAACACTTTCCAAACAATATATAAACCGAATTAAAATGTATCCGCTCATTCTTACTTTTATCCGAGAACTACTTTTCGTAACGCAGCAAGATCTAAGCTTTCTCTTTTACGTGATCCAACAGGTCTTCATGTAATCTCAGATGCATTATGGGAATGATTACTACACACCCACGTGTCCTCTTGTCGTTACTCATTATTTTCAAACAATCCGACAGAACTAGATCATGTACTCTCTGACAAGCGGCTAATCAGCCTAACCGGCTTTACGGCAATATCAAAGAGCTTTCAACAATTGCATGCGTACAGGTAGATAGCTTTTTTTATCTACCTCATGTAGTGTATTCAGTAAGCAAGAGTACAGTGTCAACAACGGTTATCAAACGAGGCCTGAAATCATTATAAACTTGTTATCGCTTCAATGTATTAAGTTTCGCTGTTTTCTAAAAAATAAACGAATTCAATTTAGTTCAAAGAGATTATTTCTTTAGAAAAACTGCTTAGTAATCTATTCTTTTATTTCAAACAGCATGATAAATTACTTAAAAATGTTGTTGTTGTTGTTGTTGTTGTTTCATTATTAATTATTCAATAGATCATTATTCAATAGATTTTTCTTGTTATTATTTTTATTATTGTTGTTGTTGTTTTTTGTTGTTGTTTTTTTGTTGTTTTTTTATGGTTGTTTTTTTCAACTGTGTATCATCTTTTTACTTATACTGCTTGATATTTTTGACATAAAATATTACTAGTTGCAATAGTCTGCTAGATTACTATTATTAACTTTTTTAAAAAACAAAACGCATACGAGATGCAATATTTATTATATTTTCCAAGTGCATCATTACGAATGGATTGAATTTAGTTAACAGAACAATGACATTTGTATCACTAATTAGATATATCTATTAACTTTGCATTTTGCGATTCAATAGATTTTTCTTGTAATGCATGTACTTTACAGAAATTAACTCTGTCATTAGCATAAGGGATAGAAACATCTCGATATTATTCAGTTCTTGAACATTTTACAGTATTTTTCGAAAGCAAAATTCGTTTTTTTAACTCTATTAAACGTTATAATAAACATGTGTCTGCGATAAAAGCTATCTGATAGAGTACTAGTTCCGTAAACTAAATGTTTTACGGATATTTTTAAAGCATGTATTAGAAATGATGTGAATTCACCTTATCTCTATGAACGGCGCGTGATATGTAAACAAGATATATGGGTTTTCCCGGATCAAGCTTATGATTAATGAAATAAGTTATAAAAAATATTGTAATGATGCAATGGTTCATTTCAATTTTACTATAGGACTTATGTAAGATAATAGTGTGTTACGTGCATAAATTCGGGCTAGTTAATTTTATATACATGAATGGGCAATAGCTATTTTTTGTAGCAAAAGAGAAAAAAAGTATTAATTGTACTTAAAATCTGTAAAAGTAGTTACTTTTGTCAATTATTTTGTACTGAACTGTATTGCTCTTTAGATTTATTTCATTTTATTTTATTATTTTTTATTATTATTTTTTTTGTCTGTACTTTTTAATAGATAAATTATAAGCGTCGCATTTCTGATCAATTTAGTTCAAAGGAATGTGCCTGTTGTTTATTTTATAAAATTGTTAAATGACATCCATTTATCTGTTAAATTACCTGTGGGATATGTGGCCTGTTTTTTTTTAACCTTGTCTTTTGACGTCATATCTGTGATATGCAGGCTTCATAATCGCTGATCCCTTTCAAAATTCCATTCAGTTCAATTCCGCCTATTGTTTTCTCGTCTAGGGTACTACACGCATTCTTTTACTTTAGGACTATACGCCGCTTTATATAGAATGGCATAGTGTGTCACATTGAAGGTTTCATAACAAACGCCGTATGAACGTACCTGCGAATGTTTCAAAATTCCAAAATTTACCAAAAATTTTGCCGTTTTGCGCGTTCTTAAGGGATTCTTTGTTAATTTCAATTTAACATTTTGCTGCTAACTTGCCGTTGTCCCGTATCCTGTTTTTGTACTGTATTATGCTGGTGCCTTACCTTAGGGCTACCTTTATTGAAGTCCGCCCTTTCTTACTTATTCTTTATTCTCATAACTATTGTACTTCTATCATCTAAAGATCTAACATATTGCTAAATATTGATAAGTAGTACAAATAGCTGCATATACAAACTATACGGCAAAAGCTTTGATTGAAACTTATTTTCCAATACCAGATGTATTTTAAAAACACTATATTCATGTACAAATATGTAAAGAAGACATGATGAAGTAACATGTTATCCTAATTAGTACGATCGTTTCTCATCAAACAAACATATCAAAGAAGAACATGCTTTTTGAAGGAATATTCACGGAAAAGAGATATGTTTAATCATCAACGAAGGCTTTGACCCATTGAAATACTGTTTCTCTTGATTGAATAGCGCTAGTGAAAATGAAACAGAATTTGGTTTACATGCGATTCGTTTTGTACAATTTCAATGGTTTAAACCACTGGAAAACGTTTGTTGTCAGTTGTTACTATAGCAACTTGAAAACATAAGACTAAAATAAACATACATTATTGCAAGCGAATCATTAAGCAGAGATCGAAATTTGTACTTTAAAAGTCATGACCTCACCTTAAAATGCATCTAAGATACTCACTTTAAAATGCATCGGTGATACCAGGTTCAGATATAAACATTGACTTCCAAACAAAATCTTTATAACACAACTAACTGCCAAGCAAAAACAAAAGAAGACAAAAAATGGCCCCTCTGTTTAACCAATAAGTAGCTGTGACACAGCACCAATTTATAGCATTTTTGGTCAGACTGGGCTTTTAATAGATGGTGAAAAAATAATGTATTGGCTTTATGTTTTTATTTATAAGGCACTTATTTATATATGTCTTGGACAATTATATCAAAATGATTTCATATTCATTTAATATTTAATATGAAGTCTAAATATGTTGAAAAAATATTACATTTACAAGTTTGTAGCGAATGAGTTAAAATATTGATTAATTTATATCTTATGTCATTTGTGTATGCTATGATATGTTTCACCTCCGTTTGTCATGTTACAAATACTGAGAATAAAATAAATTGTAAATTGAATGTCATTTTGAAAATAAGTGACATGCAAAAATGTTAAGAAGCATTGTCAAATGGAATGGCCATTTCTTTTTGATTACTGTCAATAAGTAAAATATCATAAAATGGTATTTTATTAGAAAAAAACAATATTGTTTGTATGGGGTGTACCTGACAGATGGAAAACATTCGAGTATATAAACGTTAGATCATTGATGTGAAAGTACTTTTTGTGTGCTTCCGCGACGAAAACAAGTACACAAACGCTTCCGTCTAATTTAAAAGACAAATGTGTATATAAATTAAATTGTCATAATACCATGACGTCAAAACAACATTTTGTATTCTTACAATGTGACCATTGTTCTCTTATATAAGTGTACGTGCGAAGAATCAAACAAAATTACTAACGTGTCAAATACTTCTTTACCTGATGCCATTTTGGTTCAGTTTCTTCTGACATAGTACAGCTGGTGATGTCATTTAATAAGGTCTGTTCCAGGTGAACATTCGGTGAATTATAAAGGAGACTTCTTTGGAAAAGGAATCTTAGTTGATGAGAGAGAATTATATAGTTCTGAGTACCATCCTTAGATAAAAAACATTGTTTTTTTTGCAACTTTTATATTGCATTTGAAAACACAATCGGAAGATAATTGAAAGAAAACATTAAGAGAATTTCATTATAAGTACTTATTAAAACTAAAGCCAGCAAACATGATCATGTAAGGAAGAAAATACACCTGATGTGCGTGTGGTACAGATCAAGTTTATGTATATAAGGGCTGTCATTTTTATCTGAAAATTAATTACATCAATAATTTTATTGTGCTTCGTCAAAGGTGGCTTGTTTGAGTGAATCATCAACATTTTATAAACGGTGAGATTGAAACAATGTACTAGTTCATTGTTCTGTTGAACCATTAAGCTGCTGAAAATGAATTTATCCAACTTCTTTTACCATTTTGACTCTTGGGATATCAGGGTTACATACAATCTTAAGTTACTTAAGTTACTTAACCAACAGTATCAAATAAAAAAAACAAGATCAACAAGGAAGAGCGGTATTCAATGAACTCATACCCCAACTCAGAATCCGGTAAGGAGCACAACAGCACACCAAACTGGGCAGGGCAAACGTGCAAAAAAAGGGCGGGATATCATAATTAATTATTCAAAACATGAATAAGCCCGGTCAGTTTGCACGGATATACATTTATAAGTTGATCATTTAGTCAAACCATATCCTTATTTGCTTCTATGGAGCACAAATTAAAATTAAAATGTTCATATCTTATATCAGAATTTATTGCAAGGTGATTATCCCAAACCAAAAACAAGATTATATAATGGAACAGAAAATATTTGATATTCATTACAAATTGATACATTCATGATATATACTTGTAATTTATGAATCACGCCAAGTTTTAAAAGAAAGCATGAATATGATAAAACTTGCAATCTTATGTACTTAAAGATGGTAGTTTAAAATATGTTGTTATGATATGATCAAGGATAAAACTTTTTCTGAAAAGCCTTGTAAGTAGAAGATATTTTGATCAATCATTTGACATATTGTTCAGATATGAACATACAAAGTAAAGAAATTAGATTAAAAATCGTTTCTCAAGAGTGTTCGCGTAAATTATGACGTAATATCTACATCATAGAAAAAATGCATCATGTTTATCAGATATTCTGTTCCTTTGCTGCTAGCCAAACTGGTTTTAATCGGTTTTATTGAATAGTTGTATTGGTATAGAAATACGATGGATCACTTTCAATCAAAAATGCTTTACTCTGATGCTTTTATTCCAAGATATAATTCAACATTTATAAAATAAAACTGTAACATGACAAAATTTTAGAATAATCTAGCAAAGAGAAATCAATATCCAATGCAATGGCATTTTTTTTTTGGAGGATGTTGTCTGTTTGTACTTCTTATTTAAAATGCATGTTGATATTGCAATTTGTACGCGAATTTTCCTATTGTTTTTCAATCTTTTAATTTTGAAATTTATGCTTTATATGTTTTATATGTAAAATAACTCTTTTATTATTTTTATGAATATTTTAGTTGATATTAAAACAAATATAGCTGAGATTTATTCACATAATATCTCAGTAAAAATATTAATATTTCATCATTCGCGATAACTTCGGGGCTTTTGTATGAATTGTTGTATGATTCCATAAAACCGCTGAAATTTCAGAAGCCTTAAAAGTTTGATATA